CCACCGGCCACAGTGCCCTCCTCAGGGCCGTAGGACCCCCGGCCACCTCCCACCCTCCCTGGCATCACCTTGAGCAGAAGGCCGAGTTCTGAAGACCCTCCTTGACCCCCTGGGTGCCAAGGACGCTGGAGGGACCCCTGACTCTACTTCCCGAAGGAGGCCTCGGCCACGGCTGCAGTGCCCAGAGCTGCCAGCGGGTGGCGCCAGCTGCCCAGATGCTGACCCTGGCGGCCGGCCTGTGGGGTTGGGGGGCCCATCCTAGCCGAGCTGGGTCCACCCTTCTTAGCTTTTCTATTTACTGTTAGAGAGAGGCCTAGCTGGGCAGCCGGCGGGGAGCAGGGCGCAGGTCTAGAAGCCGGTCCAGGAATCATCCAGCCCCGAGCCTGTCCATCCGTCCATCCGTCGGCCCAACCAGCATGCAAGCCTCAGTATCAGCTCTCTAGCGTTTCCTGTACACACATCTACCGTATATACAGATATATTCTATATACAATCTCTCTATATAAATATATAATATATATATATATCAAACAAAAACCCAAGCTGGCTGCTCTTACACCCATTCCAGCTCGTAGGGCAGCGTAGAGCTAGCTGTCCCTCTGCCATTTTGACAGAAGCCGACGACGGGCCACGGCGTTCTCCCAAGGAGAGGCCTGGTGGTTCACCGCCGAGTGCTTTAACCACCGCGCCCCCTGGGCCTCCTTAACACACACAGACGCACGCACCTATCTGTGACGTTCATCTCCAGGGTCTCAGCTCTGATCACCGGTGGGTGGGCCGAGCACGGAGGGTCCTGGCAAAGGCAGGGAGTCCCCCATCCATCGGCACAGAGTGGATTTGGTCCGGTCCCGGCAGGGTCGGAGGGTTGGGGTGAGTCCATTAGCTTATAAAGCCCAGCTCGTTCTATCTGGCCCCAGCTCCCCACATTCCTAAGGACCCTGGCCCAAAAAGGATCTGGTTCACCCACTGGTCCTGCCATGGGCAAGGGCCGACAGAGGGTCAGAGAGCGGTTCTAAGCAGGATGGCTGAGCTGGGGTGGAGGTTTCTGGGAAGACACCTTCAAGGTCAGGCAGGCCAACTTTTCCCACTGAGACAGGCCTGGGGGAGGGACCGATGGGCAGGAGCTTAGAGCGAGGCCCGGAAGACTTCCCTTCCACCTGGAGGGAGGCAGTCGGTCCAGTGCACCCACCTGGATCCGCCAGGCTGGGGACCCACCCTGTGTGTGCCCCTGGGTCACATGTGTTGTTTCCAGGCTGTGTTGCTGCGGTGGCTACTGTGCCTGTGTCACCTGTCCCTCCTAGCCGTCCTGTCCTCCTCTTGTACCTTCTGACGTCTGTGAGCAGACCCAGCCGTGCCATTAAACCGCCGTCCTTCCTGTTTCTGCACAGTCTCTTGGTGTTCCGCCACCTCCCGCTCGCCTGGCTCCCCTCCTTGGTCCCAGGCTCTGGCTTTTTTCTTGAAGAGCCCCCAACCACGGGACCCCCCTCCTTACCTGTGTCTCAGCCTCCTTAGCTGGTCGGAAGCCTCTCTCTCTGAGTTGGGGCTGAGGATGCTCCAGGGTGGCGGTGTGCCTGCTTCGTCAGAGACATGGGGCTGGAGACTAGAGGATGGGGTTTGGGAGCCCCCAGTGGGTCCGGTCTGTGCTTGTTAAAAAGGCAGGGTGCCTCCCTGGCCAGGAGAGGAGAAGACGGAGACGCCGAGGAGGGATGTGTAGAGGGGCTCGGCTTGCCCCAGGGCTTAGTGATTCTGTCATCAGTTGCCACCAAGTCAATGCCAGATAGGGGGGACCCCGTGGGTGCAGTCAAGCTGAGGGGGACCCTGTGGGTGCAGAGAACCCTAGGGTTCTCAAGGCTGTGGTCTTTCAGAAGTAGGCCTATCTTCCAAAGCCCCTCTGGTTGGCTTGATCCCCCAGCCTTTTGTGCCACCTGAAGACTCCAGGGATTGAGCCAAGGATCAGCTTGGATCTTCCGGATCTGAGCGGGGGTGGGGGGATGGGGAGTGGGGGTGTTTCAGGCATAGAGACCCAGCACCCATTTGTGCCAACACCCTCTCTCAGCTCCCAGTACCCAGACCCTTTCCCAAGCCCTGGGCTCACAACCAAGAGGGGCACAACAGTCAGCAGGGTCAGCTTCCTGAGGAGGGGCCAGGAGGTCACCACCCCAGGGAGCAGAGGCGGTGGGGGGGGAGCAGGAAGCAGTCTCTTCCCCGGAAAGGCTCTCAGCCTGCAAAGCTGGAGCTGAACAGAGGCGGAGAGACGGTGAGTTCTGGAAGACAGGCTTGTACCTTCTCTCCGGGCCTGGCACCAAGGTGCCCTAGAGATGCCCAAAGACTAAATCAATCCAACTCTTCGAAAGCAAGGGTCGAACTGGGTCAGGCAGGAGCTGCAGAGCCTGAGGAGTAGGCCCGCTGAGACAGAGCTGGCTCAGGGTCACACTCGGACTCGGGCGCAGCAGCTGCCAACGGCTCTGAGCCTCAGCCACCCCTCGCGTCCATTAAGGGTGGTGAAGCAGGGCATTCTGTGTCACCCCATTTACACCGTTAAAACGTGCGGCCGCCCAGCACTCGCCAGTGGATCCTGACTCAGAGGGCCCCCACCGAAGGGGACAGCTGCCTGAGACCGCTGCATGTCCCCGGCTGGCAGCTCGCTTGTTGAACAGTTTTATTAGCATATAATTCAAGTATAGCACAATTCAATCGTTCAATCCCATCCGGAAGAGTTGTACAGTCATCACTACATTCTGTGTGAGCACATTTTCTTCATTCTTGTCCTCATTGTTATTAGCTCTCTATTCCCCCCCTCCCATACCCCCAAGGAACCACTAATGCAGTTACAGTCTCTATAGGGTTACCTATCCAGGATTTCCTACAGAGAAAAACATGGAAAAACAAACAAATAAACAACAGCTAACAAGAAGAGCCAAGTAAAAAGAGATTAAAGCGTCCATCAAAAAGAAAGCAGGAACTGTGGAAAACTAGGGGCAATTTAAATGGATCCCACGGGAGATCGAATGGTCGGGTGCTGAATGTCAACCTGTCCACATCCACTTTCTAGTGTGTTCTGCACCCTGGCAGAGGCCAACCCCGCCGGGCCGCGCTCAGTGGTGGCCCTAGGTGGGTTGCCACCACTAGCCAATCAGCAGTCCAGCGCCTCACCGGTGCTCCATCTAAAACCGCTTCAGTCCTAGCTGGAGCAGATGTGTGTGTGTTGGGGGTGGGGGTGGGGGGACAAGGGCAGGAAAATGTTGGCTACAGAGGACACAGGATGTTTTCTGGGTGGCAGAAGTCATGGCAAATACAAGGGGCTTCAGAACGATTGCGGGGGTGGGGAGGAGGAATGAAAAGCGAATGGAATTTTCCCATGGACTTTTGAAGGCCCCTGGATTTCATGGAAACTCATCAGATGGATCCTTACAAAGTGCACATTTTTATATCTAGATTGCACCTCGGTAAGTTCGATTGTAAACAAGATGACGGAGGTGAGGCCAGCCTTGCCAGGAGGGTGCCAGAGGGCGGCAGAGGCAGTAGACCAACACAAGCTGGGCCTTCACTGTGCCGGGGAGTGGCTGAGAGGCCACCGGGAGCCTCAGAGTGGCGGGTGTGGTGGCAGGGAAAGGCAGAGAGGTGAAGGAAGGAGACAGGAAACCGGAAACTCAAGACAGAAGCTACCCGGGAGCCGTGTGGGCCCCGGGGCCCTGGTAAGCTAGCTGGGCCTGAGCTAATGGGGTTGGGCCCTTGGGGCCGGTGAGGACAAGAATGAGAGGTGTCTGAGGTCCTGGGGAAGGGGCGGGGTGGGGGTTCACGCACACCCCTTTCACTTCAGCTGCCTTGAGGGTGGAGAAGGCGCCTCAGAACCAGTTAAAACTGGGATCATTCTGGAATGTGGCCTTTGGAAAAGGTTCTCCCCACCCCGCAGAGAGAAGTTTCTGGACATTAGCCAGTCACCCCAGATGGGAACTGGGCGACCCCTGGGAGCCGGACAGGCAAGGTCAGGGAAGGCCAGCCAGGTCTGGGGGTTTGCTCTGTGCTCTTCCCCCACCGGGAAGTGGCCTTCTCATGGGAGGGCTGACAACTGTCAGCGCCCCTAACACTGCGCTATGTCTGGGAGCGCTGGAGCGTGGGCAGGGGTGGGGAGGCGCGAGCGCGCCCTCCAGCACAAAGCCGGCCATTGCGCGCAGCCCCACGGCGGCCTCTGCTGGCCGCGCCGGGAACTCTGCCGAGGTCCGTGCTCCTGAGGCCACAGAAGCCCCTTCCTGCCTTCCTGCCCACCTGCCCCAAAGGCCTGGCCCCCAAACACCCCTCCTCTCTGCTCACGCCTCCCCATGGGCCTGTTGACCCCCTAAAACTCGCCGCCCCTGACAGCCACTCTGCTCCCAAGCCAGTTCTGCAAGCCAAGGCCTCTCTCCTTGCCTCCACCCTTCATCCCCATCACCTGCCTCCACCTGCTCCTCAGGGGGGCCCACCAGGCTCGGGCTCCAGGGAGGGGAAGGGCTGGTCCACAGCTTCTGCAGCCGCCCCCACTGCGCCTCTGATCTGCAGTTTTACCTCAGCCCGTTGTTCTGTGGTTGTGTGATTGTGTGACTGTGGAGTCCCTGGGTAGGGCCAAGTGCAGCCTTGTGCTACAGGTACCATGATTCAGCGATGCTGGCTGCATGCTGCATGTTGGGTGACCCTCCCATCCACCCAGCCATTTCCACCCTATGTATCCCACCACACCTGAGACTCAGGGCCACCTCCGTGAAGACCACCCTCATTTGTTCCCACCCTTTTCCCTGCCTGGGAGTCTTTCTGACTCCTACGACCCCCTACCTCTGGGTCTCTGAACCTGTGAATCTTTAAGGGGGCAGACAGCCTCATCTTTCTTCCTCAGAGTGGCCGGTGGTCTCGAACCACTGACCTTGTGGTTAGCAGCCCGACTCGTAACCCACTCTGCCACCTGGACTCCTTCCCTCCTGGTAACCCCAATACACATTGCTCTCAATGCCTTTGCTGATTTCACATAATCATATCCCATCTGTCCTTTTGTGACTGACTTATTTCCCTCAGGGCCCCTGGTGGGGTAGTGGTGACACCCTGGGCTGCGTTCCTCCTGGTCAGCAGTTCAGACCACCAGCAGCTCCACAAGAGAAAGACTGGGACTTCTACTCCCGTCAACACGACCGACCATCCTGGAAACCCACAGGGGCGTGACTAGGCACGAGCAGTGAATGGACAGCAGTGGTTTGAGTTTACTTCCTTGCCATAGTTTTCAAGATGCACCTAGGTTGCGTCAGGGCCTCGGTGCTCTTTAGGGCTTAATTAGTCCGTCGTGTGGATGTACCACATGGCAGTGCAGTGGTTACGTGTTGGGCTGCTAACTGCAAGATCGGCAGTTCGAAACCACCTATGGCTCCTCAAAGACGGACTATCTACTCCCGTAAAGAGTCAAGGTCTCAGAAACAGGGCAGTCCTCCTCTGCCCTCTCGGGTCACCATGAGTCGGCATCATCTCCTTGGCAGTGCGCTTGGTTTGGGTTGCTGCATGTGTTGATGAGCATTCAGATCGACTCCGTCCGTCCTTCCGTTGCTGGGAACAGTGCTACAGTGAGTGCTGGAGTACAAGTCTGTCCGTGTCCCTGAGAAACAGCTGGTTTCCTTACACAGAAATCCCGACTCCGCCTTCTCTTCCAAGATGTAAGCTGGTGGGGGTGGGGAGGTGGGGGAGGGAGAGCAGCTCCCTGCAGAGCCTTATTGGAGCCCAAGGTAAACAGAAAAAACGTGTGCACCCTGACCCACTGAGCAAGCATCCCCCCTTCCCTTGCTTTGCACATAAATACCCTTCCCCAAACAAAACACACACACAGCACTGGAGCACAAAGCCCCAAGCAGCTTGCACGGCTCTGTCAAGCCTTAACTACAAACAAGGGGGAGCCGGGCCTGTAACAGTCAAGCAGGGGTTTGAAAACCAGCAAACAAAAGCCTCACTTAAAATGCTGGGCTTTTGTTCGGGGATTAATCTTTGGCCTTAATACCGGTTTTGTGTATGCATGTTTACCTTTTCGTTGTGAATTGGGTGAAGATTTAGAGGGTTCTATTGACTTTAAATTATATATTGTATTCAAACGTTTTAAAATCCTGATGGTTATGTTTTATGGTACCTTTTCTCAGTGAGGTCTGTCAGTCAAGGAGGTGCCCCCAAACACACTCTGGCCCCTGGCCCAGTCCTGGTATCTTGCTGGGGGGACCCCACTGGGGGGAAGGCTTGCTTCTTTTTGTGTGGTTGAAAAGGTACACAGCAGCCCCCCCCAGGGACCCTCCATTTCTACACCAAGTGCATGTCCTGAGCACACCTTCATGCTCCTTTCCGACTTGCTGCTCCCCTTGAACAAGGACTCTCTCACCCC